TGGTGAAAACCTTTTTGTTACAAGTGGAATGCGAAAAATAATAGCTTTTTGACATATTTCTAAGGTCAAATCCTTCTCATTTTGACGCAAAAAAGATGCTTAAAGGAGCGTACGCTAACTATAAAAGACATCATGAAAATAGGTGAATTTCATCAAAAATACTTGAGAGTTGGTGAGTTAACATAACTTGGGATGATCTTTCCAATGGTATATCACACTAGGCACCATCTATTAAGGTTCTAGCTGTAGCAGGGGGGACGGGACTTATTTGACACCCTGTATAGTAAACTATACCAAGAATGTAACATCTTGTATTATTTCTGAGTAGGCTACATCTGCTGTTATAGGATATTAAAAGTATTTGCACGTAAATAATATCCCTGTTCTGCTTCAATAGTATATTTTCCATATAGCGTTTGAAACCTCACTAAATCTCGTTTTTCGTGAGATTTTAAGAAATTTGCATATTAGACCTTTAATGACTATCAACCTGCATATTTGAATTCAGTGAACTGTTTTCTACAAGAATAACTTTGATTTATACAGTTATGTTATCTAAATCATTTTCCATGACTTTTTAAAAACTTGGGCCAAATCTCCATTGATGCAATGTTGGAATTCTCTAAAAACCTTGGTTTATTAGTTTAATAACCCAAATGATGATAAATTACAAGTATGTTAAATGGGTCATCACATGATATATCAATCAAGTTTTAAACAGATTCAACCAACACTTTTTGATAAATCATGACTGAATAAAGTCACTTTTCTTAATATCTTAATATGGAAGTCAATGGAAGGCTGGCCAAAGGAAAAATCTGAATCAGAGAGCACTGGTTTTCATTTATTTTCAGCTTATTCAGCTAGCATTAAGCCTGTCGAATTGAAGGTTAACTTAAGTCGTGTATAATGAGTATTTGTGACTATAGCCAACTCTTACAACATCAATGGCATCATTTCACACCTTCGATGTTATTTCTGGTTTAAAGGAATTAATCCAGGGAAAAGAGAAACCCCCAAAGTTCAAAGATGACCACAACTTCAATAGAAATTTATATAGAGCTGATTAGTCGAGCTCACGATAAAAATAAATTGGGGGATAATTTTGAAGAAACGCTTCGAATAATATAATGTCCTTTCTTGCGTTTTTAGGTAATACTACAGGGTAAGCCAAAAAGTAACCCAAAACCACGAACTAGCTCCGTGCCCATGTATCATTTTAGGCAAATTTGAACCTGGTCCAATGTTCTTGCATTCTATTAAGCTTCATTGTTTTATTTCAAATGACCACGATTTTATGTCTTTTTAGAAAATATCCTCAAAATGCCTGTCTCGTCTCTCTCGGCTAATTTGAATGCACCGGGTGAAGTTGTTCTGATTCACGCTCACAGATATCTTAATGTGTAATTAATAATCATTCTTATATCTTGTTTCAACTGTCTGATGCTTCTATAGGGGTGTAGCCAAGAGTTACCAAGGTTCCCGAATGGAGGTTTGTTTCATAATGAAAGGGCGAAGGGGTAGGGGGATGACGGTTTGCACGAAGGAAACAGTTTCAACGAACCAATCAAACCTATATGGAATATTTAGTGCGTCATGTGATTTATTGTTCGCGCAAAATAGTCATCTTCCTGAGAGTGGGGTGGTTCATTCCCTGTCTGGAATTCATTGATCTTTCAGAAAATGGGGGTTTCCCAGCCAGGGGCTCGTTATATAGCGAAGGGGGGTTTGAGGCGAGCGACGAAGTAGCCCCACGAACCCAATCTTTTGCTATATCCATGCTTCTAGAGTTGTAAATATGGACAATATCTTTGAAATACCTGGTAGCTCGATCCAAAGATAAAAGTTTCGGGATTCATATCGGGTGATCTTGGCATGTTTCAGTATTTTGAGTATGTTTTTTAATGGCCATAGAATCGCGACTATTAAAAACAGATCAATGAAACTTATGTTGAATGAAAGAACGAACCATTTCGATTGTGCGAAATATCATTTTGAATCCATGCTGGATGACCTTTTTTTGGCTCACGTTGTATTTGCCTATTTCTAAGCTTATTATTTCACGTCAAGATAAAAAAGTAACGAAAATGTTAACATCTATGTGGTATGGTTTTCAGAAATTATATGGTAGAAATTTGGGCAAACGAAGGTGGTAAGGTGTTCGAGCTCTGGGGTTTTCCCTCCTCTTTTCAGGGAAGATTAGTGCACTCTCAGTTAATTCATTCAGATCTTCTTTTTAGGATTCCAAGTTTGTGCGTGTGATGTGCTTTCCTCTGTGTCTCCTTAGGTAAATTCACATACTAGTATAACAAACGCAATTGGTTTAATTTATTCATTATCAATATATTTGCTTCGATGTTTGCTATATTACAAATCTAATGTACAGGTCAAATCCATGTATCCATGTATGTAGAATTCACATTAAACATGCATACATGTAAATACAATTATGAAATTGGCAAAGGTAAATAATACACATTTTCAGAATGATAACTTAGGAATAACAATCAATAAACGTTCATACCATGGGCAGGACCGTCAGATGTAATTGAAAAAGGTCTTTCGAAATTTTTCAAGGTGAAATTTCAACTTGCTTCAAAATAAACAATTTTTTGGCATATTATCAACAAGTTGTAAGGAGTTCATATAAATAATCGCATTTTGATATTAAAATAGTCCTTGATAGAGACAATAATTAATGATATTTTATCATGCGTGTATCACTAAGTTGCTGATACATTTTATCGCCGGTATAACAAATTTCGTTGTCCCCAGTGGTCAGTCTCCGTGGACATCGGGGTCCAACGGACCAGGCTATTCGTTGGGAGACATTGAAAACCAGTCTTTACGAGGCCAACGTGTGTTCGAGGATAATGGGGAGACAGTAATAACTGGGGGCATTAAAAACTAGCGTTCGCTGACCCTAGTTTTTATTGTCCACAGGGGGGCATTCAAAACTTTAAAGGGACACTTAAAATTTGAAGTTAAATGTCCGACGGACACTGACCACTGGGGACACTCAAATCTGTTACACCGGTCTGGATCCATGCTTATGACTTCCATCTCAGTCAATGTATTTTTGTCGTCTAACCATCGAGACTTGGAAAACATTTTAAAATCTACTTTTTCCAATGACAGTATGAGGATGGCATGAAGGTTTAATCTGGTTGTCCTTACAAATCCCTTGTCATAATGACGCTTTTTTCAACGTTTCACACTTGCCAAGATTGATAGAGTTCACAAAGTCCCGAAAAGTATTTTCATTGGAGTTATTATGATGCCTTACTATGAATGAAACAGCCAGCACCATCTATCTTATATCTAATATTATAGAATGAAGTCCGGTAAGTTAGAAGAAAAAGAAAATTCAAGATAATTGTTTTCTCATGCCAGGGGCTTTGATCAGTGATATTTAATGTTTATCCAATTTTCATATTTTTGTAACTTGTCAGAGAATTTTTTTAAAAACATTTCTTGGCGATCTATAAATAGATTCGAGGTCATCTCCATGAGCGGAGTTTTGGCCCCAAAAAGTAAGAAATATGTGCTTCAAGCTCAATATCTGCAATTTGCAAGCGATTCTGACTATGTTGTAAGTATCAAAGTAATGCTTAGAGTATTGAGACTCAACTGAAGTTAAAAATAAGGTGAAATATACACCAACTCTGTGATTATGACCAAACAAAAACGGGAGTCCAAAACCGGAAGTCAAAAGAGTAACCGCACTTTCAGTCTAATAACTGAATAATGGGGATTGATAGTGCTCACTGTGGAATGAAACCATGGTTCTCGTATACAACACAATCCAAAATAACCAACCGACATAAATCTGATTTCAATGCATTACTTTTCATCAAAATTGAGCAATATTCTCATCTCCGTCAACGCCCTTGTAATCGAGCCTGCTACTGTCGCAACAATTGTTTCATTTTCTGCTGGAAAGGCATTTGGAACTTCAAATTAACTCATTATTACAAGTACCTCTTGGACAGAAGTGTCATTGTGTAAATTGAACATCTTGTATCTATATGTGGCAACAATGTTTGCTCTAAAAATGCATATTAATTTAAATAATCATATGATGCATTATAACACATATACTGACATAAATATACCATACTACAGCAGTAAGAATGTCTTGTTTACATACCCTTGATATGCTAAATTGAAGCACTATACCAGGTCTTAGTGCCCAAGGGCTCAGAATAATGTACAAATATTATATGAAATATATACAATTCGTGGGATAATCGAAATTCTATAGTCCCTTTCTTGTATGATACACTTTAATGCTTTTTCTCAAGGTACACCACTCTACAAATGGCTGAATATGTATTCTATATGTTAGCTTTCGCCAGGACGGCCCTGATTGGCAAAAATGAAATATGCAAAGGAGCACGTGGATTATCGCAAACAATTTCAAAAGGTTATATTTTTTTCTGACAATGAAGAAAAGTTTATCTTTTAGATCAATTCATTATCTCAAGGAAAATTATGCACAGTAATAATAAAGTCAAACAAACTCGGAGATATTTAACTAGCAATCAACCCATCAACACATTTTTTCAAAGATGTTGACCCCATTTTCACCAAAAATGCAATTTTTTTACAATGTTTAATGCAAATACTATTCTTTATTTTGATGTATCAAATAGTTCTTGAAAGAAAAACTTGATTGCTTTAAGATAAGTGCTCTCCATGTTATTTCCCTATTGAAAAATCTCATGCTATCCATTGGTTTCAGTTCATTTTGCTCATCCAAATTCGGTATCTTTAAAGTCCCTGGAGCAATCAACTTTTCCTTTCAGGAAATCGAACGTGTCTCAAAGCACATTCTAATTATGCTTTCAACAATATAATAAAAGGTTGCATTTTTGGTGAAAATTAGGTCAACATTTTTGAAAAAGTATGTTGATTGGTCCATTGCCCCTTCAATATCACTTAGGTCTGATTAACTTAATTATCATTTTGTATACTTTTCTTGAAGATAATGAATGGCTCTAAAAGATAGACCCATGTTAATGATCAGATAATATTCATAATTCAAGTTAGAATCGTTTGAAATTATTTGCGATAACTTACGTGCTCCTTTCAATGTTGGGATTTCACAAGTCAATTATCTGTCTCAATATATTATCTCCCTCGTCCTCAAATTCCGGCCCATTTCATCACATCGTATCATACTATTAAGATCGAGAAAAGTTAACTTGATCAGGTGCTTGTTTGTTCCAAATTGACCAACCTCCAACTTTGCTCTGTCTCAAGCAAAGAAGGACGATGATTAGAATGATAAGCAAGAAAAGCGCCACGGCCAGGCCAACTGCAAGGCCAATCACCACTGAATTATTTCCCGGCGAAACCATTCCTGGTTGTCCTCTCAAAGTAAAGGTAAGGTTTACTGAACCATAATCATTGGAAGCCGTACAAGTGTATCTAGCTTCAGGGAGAGAGGAATCAACTGGGATTGGATTAATAGGAGCATCACCATCACCCATTATTGGTAAACTATCTTGGACTGGATATGTGTCGTACCAGGTTATATTCGGTTTGGGACTGCCTCCAGCTACGCAAAGGAGACGTTCATCTGATCCATCTAGTTTAGCCTCAATATAATTTATCTTTGGTGCAAAACATAGTTGATTTTCCCAAGGGAAATCATACCATTGAAGGGTCATTCCAGTATTGAGACATTTCACTGGGAAGAAATGGGATTCATATGTGTTGAACAGCTTATTGAGCTGTCCACATGAACAAGACGCCTCTTCCTTTTCATACTCGATATACACAAATTGCTTGTTGGTATTCAAAGGGAGACTTGTGATGCCATTCCCCGTTAGGTACAACTTGATTTGCCTGTTTTCTGTTAGAGTTAATTGTGGGACGCTTGCCAGACTATTATTCTCTAAATGAACTTTATCCAAAGCACTCATATGAGCAAGGGCGTTTGGCTGGAAAGATTCAATTCTATTATCTAAGAGGAGCAGTGCTTGGATCGAACCCAGGGGAGTAAACGTTTGTTCACCTACATTCTTGATCAAGTTATGTGATAGATCAAGATGTTTCAAACCAGTGATTTGTCTGAAAACTTCACCGTCAATTGATTCAATTTTATTGTTGGACAAACTCAGATTTGCGAGCTTGTTTAACCCTTCAAATGCCAAAGTACTGATGGTAGCAATTCGGTTGAAATCTAACCTAAGCTTCTCAACTGATTTAAGTTTAATAAATGTTTTATCTTGCAACGCATTGATTTGGTTATTGTTGAGTCGAAGTGTTTTAAGCGATCCAAGGCCTGTCCAAATATCAGAGTTGTTTATTTCTTTAATAACATTATTATCAAGGTACAACGTATTTAAACGATTTGCCCCCTTAAATGCATCAGTCTGGCAAAATTCGATTTTGTTCAAGTCAAGGTAAAGATCCGTCAGACCTGTAAAGTCCTTAAAAGTGTTACTCATTACAGATTTGAACTTGTTTCCAGATAACATGAGTTTTATAATTTTTCCCGGAGCGCCAAATGCATTGGGAGATATTGTCTCGAGGTCATTATGTGTCAGATTCAATGTGCCTAACATAGTTAGAGATTTAAAGGTCTGATCGGGCAGTGCCTTTATCTTATTGTCACTTAAAGACATAGTCATTATGCTAACTGGGTGTACGAGAGCTTTAATGAGTTGTTCCAATGTTTCAGGAGTCATTTCTTTAAGTTTATTATTGAAGTTCAATTGTACCATTCCCAATAAACCGAAGAACACTTGGGATTCAATCTGAGATATGCTGTTGTCATTTAAATCAAGATACTCAAGAGTCGCCACATTTTCAAATGTTTTGTTTTTAAGTTCCTTGAAGTTATTACTATTCAGATGAAGCTCACTGAGCATCTGAGGACCATTCAAAACACCGGAACCTATCTTAGTAAGTTTGTTAAACGATAAGAAGAGAGTCATTAAATTTTTCAGTGGTTTAAATGTACCATCTTCTAGGTTCTCAATTGTGTTATTTCGCAGGTTTAGAGAATGAACTTTTCCTAGACCGAAGAATGCATCAACCTCGACAGTTTTTATCTTGTTGTCAAAGAGATAAACTGTTCCGACATTTATGAGGTCACTAAAGACACGATTTTGAAGTCTTGTCAAGCTGTTGTTCCTCAGATCTAGTTCCTCCAGTTTGTTCAATCCAGAAAACGCTCTAACCTGGATTGCTGTTAGTTTGTTATGGCTGAGATCCAGATGGGTTAAACCTCCAAGACTCTTGAAAGTTTCATTCTTAATAACCGGTAATTCATTAAAGTGCAACTTAAGTTTTTTCAAACTCTGAAGGCCAGAGAATGCACCGGGTTTTAGTTCAGAAATCTTGTTGTATTGAAGTTGTAGTTCTCTGAGTCTGTGGAGATCTCGGAAACGTCCATCTTCTAAAACGCGAAGCTTGTTCATGGATATGTCGAGAATCAAAAGATCACCGAGACCCTTGAAGGCATCATTTTCAATGTTTGATATCTGGTTTTCATTCAAATAGATAACGTCGAGTTTTGTCTCTTTGTTTGAGTCTTTGAATACATTGTTAGTCAGAGTTGTTAGATTATTATTATCTAGATACAGATACATCACTTCCGGTTGATTAGATATGGCGCCATCTTGCAATGATGTCATACTATTAAACCCAAGACCAAGCCGTTTTGTTAAGGGAAGCTGCATGTTACTTGCAAATTCACTAGCACTAGTTTCTATTGAAAACCACTCCAATGGAGCACTGTTTGAGTTAAAACGAATATCATCAAATGAAACATTATTGCTTGCCCCAATCCTCAATTTTTCAAGTTTTGCATCGGCAAGACCACTAAACCCATCAGAAGAGAGAGATTTTCGAATGACAGTATTATTTACAACAACAGTATGACGTCTGGCGTAAAAACCCGGGGCGTATTTTATAGATGGAGCAAATGTGTCTATTATGCAATCGTCGTACACAACTGTGCTTTCTGTGATATTTGCCAACATTTTGATATTCACAGTTTGTTTCACACCAAACTTGAACCGTGTAAGGAAAATACAGAGGGACGTTTGATAGTTGCTGATATCTGCACTCACTGTAACTTCACTGTAAGTTTTGCTCATGTCACCAATACATATCAAGACGTTTTCGCAATTGTCCGAAATAGAACTTTCAGAGTACTCAATCTCACGCTCCGGAGCTTTGAAACAATTATTCGTCACGTCCACAGCTTCTCCATATGTAATCCCAAATTGAGTAACGCCCAATAAGCAAAACACCAGTGCGAACAAAGTCTGTAAAATAGTTAATGAATAGATAAGCGCAGATAATATTTCAAAACGTGTTTCCTTTACAATCCTAAATTATATAGAGTTAACACAAACTGTAAAAAAAGAATTTCCACGGTGAGTATGGACTTCGTTTCAATTGATCCTTTACAGTGGGCATTTGTGTATAAGGACTACTAGATTCCGTCATATTTAAGTTACATTTTTGATGCTTAAAGTGTTTAAGTCAGTTCATTGTATAAAATTATACAATTGAAAGATTTGAAATAAACATTCAAACATTAGTGCCCGAACAAAATGGTTGACCGGGTGACCCAAAAATGCAAGTATACCGAATATTCCCAAAGCATATAGATTCTAAAGTATAAATGATATCATAGTTTATTTCAATGTAGTATCAAAATAAAACCACTAACTTTCAGTGAAAATGGACTTTTTAGTCACCCTGTACATGAACCAGACGAAGGTATAATGCAAGTTCATTAGATTTTCTAATGTTTCCCTGCAAAAGTGGCGTAAGAACGTCCTAAGAACAGTGGCGTTAGGGACTAAAAAACGTTTCACTCACCGCGATGTGTGACGATATCGAGACACTAGTCATATTTGTCCGTGTATCTCATTGGTTGACGCCTGCGCAGGTCGTACTTTACCAAGCAATACAATGGCAACCTCTAAAAATCTGTTATCCTACAAATAATCAGAGTCATTATCATGACACACTAAAAGAACTGTTAATGAAGAATAAAGCAAGATAATCAATTCAAGGCTTAAATATATTTGACCATGAGAAAAATTTGAATATTTTATTACTAATCACTGATAAAAAACGTCCTTATTAAACGAAAGTATAAGAGTGCCACATACACTGTACATGTATAAGAATGCCGTATCAGATCATCAGCAACAGAAATTGTGCAATAGGACATAATATTACTTCTTTTTTAGATACTGGACAAGGTGACTGTACGTAGATAAAATGCACTTTTTGAAACACCAACTCGTTAACGGCATTCCATGCAGTTCTACGTCATCCTTTTTGCTAAAAACTTCCTAAAGTTCTATTCTTTTAATTTCAATTTTATCTGTATCTGAAAAGTGGAAGTCTTTGTTCTCGATTCTGATAAATTAAACATTTCTACATCATTAATTAACTTCATAAAGGACGATTCTCGGTTTGGAGAACGAAGTTCATCAATCTAAATGAGCATTATCCCTGCTTCGGACAAATTTGATTTTTTTACATAATATAGATTTGAATGTCTTCTTTTGAATAGTCATAATTTAATTTGGGTAATATTTTTAGATTTTTTGCAAAAAAAATATTAGCGCAGTACACTATTGAACTTCTTCCCCCAAATCGAGACTTGTATTTTATTAAATTGGTCTAATTGAGCATTATCCCTGCTTCAGACCAATTTGTTATTTTTACATCTTGTAGATTTAAATGTCCTCTTTTGAATATTCATAGTTTAATTTGGGTAATATTTCTATATTTTTCATGAAAATAATTATTAGCCCAGGAGACTGTTCTCCAAACCGAGAATCGTCCTTTAAGATTGAAAGTGAAACATCGATCGACATGTTTTCTTCTGTATTATTGAATTGCTTGAGTAGTCAGCGTTTATATTACAACCACGGCTTTTTTGAATTTTAGAGGTCATTGGCGATGTTTACCGTCTCTATTTTAATTTATGTGGTATTTTCGACTACACTAGATGTTTGTTAAAAGGTGTGCCTTGTGATATACCTAGAGGTGTATAGATGTATTAGTATATATCGCGTTTAGACACCGAAAGATATTAAATTTTGTAAGACTATCGGATCAATATAAGTGAACATTTGGTGAAATAAGGGGGTTTTAATTAGAAATTTAGAACCATTAATAATCTCCTCGAGTTTCTGCCTGATTCTCTTTTAAAAAGTTCACGCAAATGGTTCTCACGTTTGATAAAATAAAGAATCAAACAGTCACAAATGCTTATTAAATTAAAAAAGAGTGCTAATAAGAAACTAAATGATCGTTAGGCATTGGATTTCAAATGATATACCTATACTTCATGCGCTTGCTGTACCCACCCTTCCGGTATAGACGTTGTCCTTAGCAGGCTATGATTCCTTTTGTCCCTGACCTCGATCACGTTATCAATTCCAGATCCAGGAAATCGTTACCCTCCTATGATTTCAGCCTCTCTAATGACTTTAATGATCTCGTCGGTTGTGGCATCCAGTACCATTTAATGTGAACACCAAGAAATCCTCTCGGTAAAAATCAAATCAAGAACGTCTGATAGTTATTTGCCGAAAGTCGTTTGGAATGACAACATACCCTTTTATTGCACATCGCACATTGGATTTATGTGATGACGTTATGCATGCCTTTTAAGAGGCAGTGACCGTTAACTAAATATAAAAAGAAACTGACATTTATCATGCAGGATGTTTTATATATGAAGTCTGAAAAGTGTGTAGTAGGTTGTACTTAAACAGAATATAGGTAATAAATATGTGTTATACCTCTATCAGCTTCACCATAAATGCATTTATGAAAGAAAAAAGCTGGAACTCTGGGAGATAATACATAAAAACACCACCCTCCTTCACCAACGTATATATTTCAACAATGCTTACTACATGGTGGAACTTTGCTTACAACTGCCGGCTGACGGTTTAGCTTTATTTTTTATCGCCAACTCATTCAATTGATGGAATAGTGGCGCTGATACTATTTATATATGAGTTGCAGTCAGTTTTTTAAATTGGATTTTAAGATTGAATTAAGCTTAAAAAGTATAAGACTCTTATCTTTGGCTATAAGGTACAAGACACTACTAAATATACTTACGTACTTTATTGAGTGGTTAAATAACATGGCATATTATATTTGTAAACTATTGTAATAATGTTCAAGAATTGAATTGTATCATTTTTTGCAGATATTGACGTAATATTGTAAAATGATGTAAACTACGTTATAAAAATAGAAATAATATATTATACCATCTGTTCCAAAAAAATTTGTGCGTCGTCATTACAAGGGCCGATCAAAAAGTTTCTTACCGTTGGCTCTCAATTTTATAATAAGAGGAGTTGGAAGCTCAACCTATAAGATGAGACAGGATAGTTTGTTTGCTTGAAACTGTACAAGTGTCATATAAATTGGTTTATTGGTAGTGACACAGAGTCAATTCATATTTTCAATGACAAAGTTAAGTGGAGCAGCGTTATATATAAAATATCTGCTGAGTTGTGGTTCTGGAAATTTACCGACATCGTTTCAATATTCACATACGAAGGTCTTAAACGTGCGTTTTTGGATCGAGTGGACAGATATAGGAAGTGCATTGCAACTGGGGTTGAATATTTTGAATGAGAAGGAATATTAGCAGAAAAACTAATTAAACATGATTAAACTACAGTCTGTAGTTAAAAAAGATAAACTTGTCTTCATTGTCAGAAAATAGTCATAATCCAAGATATAACCCTCTGAAATTGTTTGCGATAACCCACGTGCTCCTTTTAAACCTAAAAGGCCGAAAGCGGCGAATATTGAAACGGGGGTTGTTAACATATTGTACTTGCACTGATCTATTAGAATCCGTTGCATATATTTTTGGAAAAAGTAGGACGAAATGATTCGGTTTGCTTCAAATAGTTGACTTTATGTGATGGTGGTCTTGAGTGAAATCTGTTGAAAATCGTTCATAATTCGGATAGATGGCGGAAAAAGCTGTCATATCTTTTTATTTCAATAATGGCCTTTCTATGCAAAAACATTTTCAGTTTTAAAGGGGACATATTGGGCCATATCGTGGTGTATTACATACCTAGCGAAGCATTTGTATGGAAGTCAATGGGAAAGTTAGCGAGCTATATCCACCGATATTGCCCGATTACCCCGATATAGCCCGCTTACCTCGTTTTGATATTAGATTTCTTTAATAACCATGATAATATCATGACGTCACGTCATTGATACAAAGTAACCATGGGAACAAAGGCATGTAATACATCAGTTATGTCACTATGACGTGAAATATGCCTTCGTTCTTGCCCAAATATAGAGCCTCCCAAGGTCGGCCTATATTGGGAGAACTCAGGCATATTTCACGTCATAGTGACATAACCTCTAAATATTGGGTTATGTACCGAAAATCCTCGTTTTTCATAATTATTCCGAAGATTCCAAAGTTTCCCCATTGGATTGTATAAGAGCATTTGTCTGAAAACAATGTTGATTTTCACGCATGCGTTGTGACGTTATTTCCATATTCTATACCATGTACAGAGGGGGAATAACACCAGAGTTCAAAGATGACATACGCTTAAAATGTAAACTTGTATTGAGATGACATACATCTCTGATTGGTCAAAAGTCGACAACCAAATGATGTCATCAATGGCGGTTTCAAAATTTTCGAAATACGCTTTGAATAATATTTATGTTTATTTCTGGCGTCTTTAACCAATATCATAGCTTCTCATTTCACATCAAGATAAAGAAAGATGTACGGAATATGCCTATATCAATTAAAACATCCCATTGAAGTGTAGTATTCAATAACTAACCGATGAAAATTCGAACGAACGAAGGTGGTAAGCAAGAGACGTAATTAGGGGAGAGCGGGGTAAGACAGAACGCGGGGTGAGACGGAACGACGGATTTTTATTGAGTAATTGTTTAAAATGGTTTTTTGAAGTAAACTTTTTTTGAAAATATATCAAGTGATCTTTCTGTTCAACCACAATTTTCTTGTCGGCTGCAACTAATTCTTTCATAAAAAGCCATCGTTCCGTCTTACCCCGCTCTCCCCTATGTCTGTCATCTTTAAGCTCTGGGGCTTTCCCTCCTTTGCCATGTACATGAATACTGCGCATGCGTCCCGCAATCTGATTGGTCATGAGGCGGAGCGCGTATCATTTTACGAATTTGGCAGTGGTCATTTGCATTGTATCTTGCCATAATTGCAAGATTGACTATGAAATATGTTTTTCTAGATATCACGGTTATGTCTAGGTATGTTATCTCGGGCCTGTATGACTGCCAAATCATGATAATTAAAGATGTGTATTTTTTGATAAACTGTAGGCTATTTTTTCGTATTGAAATTGTAAACCATTTTTTGTCTTCATGGCTGTCATTTACCTCAGACTAGCATATTTTTACTCAAAGCTGTCTGTCTAATTTATTCGCTGTAGCGGTAGTGATGATTTCGTTCATTGTAACCTAGCGAGGTTGAATGTTTCATCACAGAAAATGATCACCAAGGGTCGGTAGTAAGTAGTAAGTTTTCTTTATGGCTCATATTGAAGATATAGTCTAAAGTTGTATATTGTATGAATCACATTGAATGATTTTATGTCACGCCATGCAAGCTGATGACCACTGGTCGCTCGACCAGTGGTCACGTTGACGGCCGTCACTAAGTTTCAAAATTGGGGGCGTTCATTGCAGAGGATTTTTGCACGAAATTACCAATTTTAGGAAGCTTCACTTCCCAACACTAGACATTAAAACAATTCAAGCAATTGATAGTCTAGTTAAAAGGTTCAATTAAGGTCAGGGTGCATGTTCGGAATTTTGCTGCAACCCTCAATGGGCCACATATTGTTTTTCAACTGGATTTGAATCACTCCTCCCCCACAATGTCTACATCTCTCACTTTTGCTCAACGAGTGCACTAATGTACCTAGAAAAGAATGTAAAGAAGAATGTATTGATAAAATGTATAAAAAAACAAGAAAATGCAGTGAAAAGTTTCAGAATTTTTTTTCACTGAATTTTCTGTATTTTTATACATTTTACAAAACAAATCTTCTCACCAGTCTTTTCTAGCACATAATAGCAATCTTTGTGCAAAACTGGAAGATGTAGACAATGTGGGGAAGGAGTGATTCCTGTTTGAAAAATAACATGTGACTCAATTGACTCGGGAATGCAGCAAAATTCCGAACATGCACCCTGGCCTGGCTTAAATGCAATATAGCGCTTCCTGTTTTAAACAAATATTTTTCAGTCCCATAGTTTAACATGTGTGGGCTATGGTCTGAGTATTTAAAAAAAACAAGAAAATGCAGTGAAAAATTCAGAATTTTTTTTCACTGAATTTTCTCGTTTTTATACATTTTACAAAACAAATCTTCTCACTCTTCTTCTCTAGTTGAAGTTCTGCCGAGTTCCTTACTATGAATGCATGGGCGTAGCGCTATAGGCTATTTCTAAGTAGTACGCCACTACAGGAACAAGAGTTGGGTGAATCAAAAAACGAGCATTCAGGGGGGTCAGGGGGGTTCTCCCCCAGGAAAATTGTGAAATTTGGTTGTATTTTGAGCGAATTTGCGAATCTGGTACGCCTGTGCGTACCCAGCGTACCAGGCGCTACGCCCATAGAATGGTACCCACCCTCGTTTTGCTTCAAGGATCGCTACGTCATCTAAATAGTGAAAAATAACAACATTGTCCTCATTCATTATTTAGTGAACCTAACCAAAAAGCGGCTTTGGCGCGATTTTGAACTTTTAGTACCGTTTACTATAAGTGTGAATACAAACCATTTCGTGACTTCAACTTCTTAATTCTTAATTATCCACATTTTGAAAGTAATTCTAATTAAGTTCATTGACTGGAATTCCCTGTGGTAATTTGTCTTTATTAATTTCTGAATTTGTAACAAAATAATTGTAGTCAACCACTTATCAGTCAAGTCGAGTAACTAAGTCAGCATTCGAAAATAAAAATCTAAAAAATCGTACATCTTTGATTTCAAAAATAATTTGTGAGGTCATTATTAAGATGATAATACACATTTTTACGTATTAATTTTGAGTACATCTCGAATCCATTCTCAACAAAGCGTTCTTAAAATAAGTATTCCAAAATATTTGAGTTCGGGATGATAAAAGTACGTTAAGATATACCGCTCCTTAACAAACTTCTTTGGGAACAAGATATTAATCAAATGCATATTCTTCTAATTTACTCCCGGACACATGCCAACGAATGTAACATAAGTAAATATTTCCATTTTAAATAATTTTGTGGACGTTGTTCTCTACAGGTGCCATTTTTATAATTGAAAAACAAAATTGAACATTTTGCATTTCTAAATAATATTTCCCTTAGTGATCCCATGCTAAATAGACAGTAACTAGGTCATTGTTTTGTGCTCAACCTTGTTTTCATGACTTTTAAACATGAGTCGACAAGTATGTAGGAAATTTCAATTCCAAATGTAAGCGTGTCAGCTCCTGTTTTTGCACAAAATGTTGCCTTTTATTATGATAGATCGCCAAAATCTGCATGTACCTCTCAACGAGGCGACATGTTCTTAAATTTATAGATGCTGAGCTATAAACTCAAACAAAATTCAAACCACCCGCTATTATTTTGATTACACAAGACGAAATTTCCACTCCCGGGGAGCACTGTGCCAACACTTTGAAGGAGGATTCTTGAAAAATCGTTCGAATTTTGAAAAAAGGTTTCACGCAGTTTTATTGCTTTGTTTAAGCCTCGACTAATATCACACTCAAATCCGATACCATAATTATAAATTAAAATTAAACATTAAACTCACCAGGTTATGTGATAAACCGTTTTGAGAATTGATGATTTGAGTTAACTGTGGATATTTATATAAAATATAAGTCGGCATGTATTCGACCGTTAATGTACACACATGATGTATGCATCAACGTGTGACTTAAATATCAATTCGTGACTATCATATTTGGCTTTAAAAAAATAAGTTGGAAGTGACAGTGGTTGGAGATTAACGAAAACGTCAATCACATCCAAATATCCAAACGACGTCAAGTATTAACAATACACTTTTCGTGCATCACGAACAAGGCAAGGTTCTGTGATCCAGCAATGTACATTCCGAAAGAAAAAAAAATCACAAATATCAACAAATTTCATTGAGTTGGATATTACATTCGAAATCACAACTTTCGAAATATTTGTTTCAACCAAGAATTGTAAGAACTTTAAACATGTTGTTAGTTTTTCAAACCGCATATCCTCATTAACGTTCTTTGACAAGGATGAATTCATTTGAAAACATGGATTTTCTTCATTATTCTTCCAAACTACCCTTGAAATATAAGTATGTGGGATATTACAGTATAAATTGACACGCATTTGTTTGCTCCATATCATGAAAAAATAAATGCAGTACCATCTTTCAATATTTGAAAACAGAAAGTTCATTCTGTATGTAAACAAGAAAAAATACATTTATGGTTGATTCATAATGAAAAATGACATATAACATACATCTTTTGAAGTAGGGGTATACAGGGACATAGTGGAAATTCAGAAATTTAGGCCATATCCCCAAGATTGCTTCACCAATATGTAACAGAACATCAAAATAATCATTTACACGTTTGCTGAAAGGTTTATTGAAAATAATTTAACAGAACTTTACTTCAATTGTGGCACCATTCTTAGTATATATTGATGGACATACGAATATCGAATGATGACTAGGTTACTTGGCTTGACCGTTATATGCAACTTTTCATCTTGCAGAATTCTAATGGAGTTCGAAAATTTGATTTAATTATAATGGAGCTAAAAATGACTAAAACTGAATCATTTTCGAACGCTAGCGTATTTTATTTTGAATATATCATACGGACTGTGTAGTGGTGTTTGAATACTTTATGAGTTTAACCAATTATGCCTTGGGACTTATTAAGTTATCATAATTTCATCAGTATCACTTGGATTTGAACCGTAGAGGGAGGAGAAAATCTATAAAAATACGTCATTTTAATTTAGTAACTAGTTTAGTAGCGCGATGGTCGTCCTATGTTACCTGACATTTTTGTATTGTTTTTTTTGTCAGTACATGGTTCGTATGATAAAAGTTTAGTTAAATTAAGCTTAAAGATTAGAACATATGTTCATTAAGACCTGAGCTTTGCCAGTCCAGTATACAGTATATTATATTTTGTCATTCTTAGTCTACGTTTTTACAGATACACTGTTGGACTTTTGATTGTTAATCATGGCGCTGTCGGAGTCACAGGCTGAATTCAAGCAATACTTCGATAATACCGTACTCTCGGGATACAAAGCTCTTGGTATCGCTCTAGGCCATAGACTCGGCTTATTTGATGTTCTCGCAAAGTTTGACACGCCTAAGACTTCTCAGGAAATAGCAGATGCCGCAAACTATAAAGAAAGGTAGGGGGAGAATGGAAATTTGGTTGATATTTCATTTTAACCGTGAATATATCGGATGTCCCAAAAAAGTATTTTCTCCGTAATAAATAAATGGAATTCGTTGAAAAGGACAAGTCTCTGGGAAAATACTTGTGAAAAAGCACTCACATTTTGGGACACCCAATATACTAATCATGATCTAGATCTGTCTCTTTCATATTTAACATAAATGAGGTGTAAGGACTAAAGACGCGAACAGTAGTAAGTTGAATGTAACCTCCTGATTTATCAAAACCTTGTTTAGTTGTATTCAGGGCCCGGATTCAATGTTGGATTTATCGCGTATGAAGAGGTGTCAAAACTTCGAACGCATATATAATTAACTCCCAGCTGTGTCAAGAGGTTTAGGCCTATCTACAGGTAAATGTGCAATGTGCATACGTATGGATTTTCAGGAAACGATTTGAAAGTGTCTCTGAAAATTGTCCAAATCTTGGCCTTTATTTGTTCATCGTTCTTACTATTTGATACTTACTCGTAGTCGTATTTCAGATATGTCAGGGAATGGCTTGGGCTGATGGTTGTTTCTAAAATCATTACAATGGATACAGCCAGTGCCACCTATATCTTGCCTAGAGACCACGTTGCTGCAGTGACGTCACCAGTAGCAATGTTCTCCTGGAATATACCTTTGTTTGGAAGTTTGAACCCATCAATAATGGAATGCTTCAAACTTGATGGGCCTAAAGGTAAAACAGGTCATACTCACTTACTAAAGGCCTGGTCTGAGCCCCGGGTCTGAGCACTCAGGTGGCAAGGACTGCATTTTTTGTTGTTTCAAAAGAAACCATTTGAATTCGTAAATCATTAGGGAAAGAACCCTTCAAAATTCATTCGCTCATACGGCATTGACAAATTCTTGTAGATAAAAATCTAACTACAATCAAAGCGCATAAGTGAGTTTACCGTGTTCATACCCATTCACACTGGTAACTTACATTTTCAGCCTGTTCCTTCTATATTTGCAGGTATACCTTATCAGAAGGATGACATTTTTCACAGTTGGTATGATTCAAGACGAGGTGAGGAATATGGACAGGAGCTCTGCCAAAAACTTATCCCATCAGTGCCAGGCTTAAGAAACATACTAGGTAACATTTTACACCATTTTCTGTATTTTACTGGAAGCGCCTAATAATTTCGCTGACGTGCTTCATTTTCGATTTGCGTATTCGTTCATTGGAAACAACACCTTCATGGTATGATTCAGCAAACAATGCACCGAGTCCAGGGCTTAAATCCTTTAATCACAGATAGATTAAAGCGATAAGGTGTGCAAATGAAGTCTCACTTTAAATTTTCATTGTATTTCCAATGGATAAATAAGTACCTGATCTTTCATTTGACACCAAAAACAGCTCAAACAGACCACATCAGAATTGACACTAGATCATGAAAAAATATTTTTGATCTATCAATTTTTATATGTCAAGTTTTTAGCAATGCGATAGAAAGATGGCATTGTTGTTTGCATTAATTATCCATTCATTTTTGATAGGATTTTCAAGCATACGCCATCTTTTAATCCAAGAGTTATTTAAAGGAATATTCCTTGCCAGACCCTTTCTCTCTTGATATGGTAGCTATAATCATATATATAGTTTCCATATTTAGCAAAACATGGGAAAATGTTTTAATATGGTCAGTATTGATCATTTAAAAATCAAGTGCATATTTCCAGTGAGCTGCCATCTTTTAAGATTTCTTGCAGGAAGTGATGTCATCAACTCTCAACTTCTATAACCTTGCCCATAACAGTATAGGAAAGTAGCACAAAATCACTTCCAGACAAGTGATCATTACTTTCTGTGCAAAAATATTTTCAGGGCTTGTCAACTTAGAATAAAAGAAGAGATTTTTAGAAGGATTAAATAAGATACAAAGTTGAAAAAGAATATTTAGCTGGTTTTGTAATTCTTAATAGCTACTCACCTAATGCCATATGCAAAGTTGAGAGTCGATGACATCACTTCCTCTGTGAAATTTTAAAAGATGGCAGCTTACTGGAATTGAGCATCACATTTCTAAGTGATCAAATTTGACCATATCAAAACATTTTTGCGTGTTTTGCTAAACATGGCAAGCATATATATGGTTACAGCTACCATATGAGGAGAGAGATGGTTTGGCAAGGAATATTCCTTTAAAACATACACTTTGTGAAAAGTGGTAATTCACTTTTCTCAATCTCTGAACTTCAAAATGCTGTTTTTCTATGCAAGTAATTTTTTTCACATCAGTATTATCCCAAATAAAAGTTTTTATCATATTTGATTGACTGTGTGAGTGACATGTCTCAAATAATATTTTGTCCTTTTTCCTTCAAAAATAGGCGCATTGCCTGTTTAATTAAAAAATATAGACCGAAAAGCAGGGGTAATACACCCCGCAGGGCTAGGCACAAACGTTTTCTGTAAGTTCGAAAGCTTTTGTGCCTAGCCCCAAGGGGTGTATTCGACGATATTACCCCTGCTCTGAGGTCTATATTACGATTCGAACATGAAAACTCACCACATTGTTTCGAATATTCATCATGGTCCGCCATTACTACGACCCACCGTTATGACGTCACACATTACACGTATTAACTGGGGTATTGATCGCGAATATATCCCAGGTGAAATGTTGACTTTGTTTACAGTTTATAGAAGGCGTGAATACAGTCATGTTCGAATCACATCAGATAGATATCAAAATGGCCAGAGCGTTTAAATTCATAGAAAAAACAAGAAATCTATATAAGCAACAGGAAATACTTAATATGAATTAGCAATAATTAGGCGGGATAATGTTGGGGACACTTGAAAATCGCCAGATTAAATAGGCTCAAAACACAAAATCGCCAAAGTAAGTAGACAAATACAGTACATGTAGGTCTACTTAAATTGGTTTTCATTAATAAACGATGAACGTTGGATGAATTTTAAGCTTTTTTCAAGGGATATCTTTTGTGTGCACCCATCATTATAAGCATACCAACGTACTTTTCAGAGAATGGAGGACAAGTGTGTGATATCGGCTGTGGGACTGCTACAGGTATTACACCTCATTTTGCAAAACAGTTCCCAGCTAGTACTTTCTACGGTATTGATATCTTGCCCTCTGCAATTGAGAAAATCACTGCATCAGCCAAAGAAATGGGCCTTACCAACACACGATATGCTACATATGATGCGGCTGATCTTCCCGATGGCGAATGGACCGACAAATTTGATTGGTTGTTCACACGTGACGTACTTCACGATATCGCGAGACCAGAAATGGGTGCTAAGGAGATATTTCGTACTTGCAAACCAGGAGGATATTTCTCAGTGATAGAGCTCGATTTAGACGATAACCCCGTGACCAATGCCAATATTGCATTCGCACCTGCGATATACTGTGCGAGTCTTCATAGATGTATTCCCATGTCGCTCAATGACGATGGGGCAGGGCTAGGCGCAACTTGGGGAAGGGAAAATGCGTCAAAGTTATTAAGAAGTGTTGGGTTTGAGATAGTATTCGCTAAAAGTATTGACTTTGATACGCACAACTGTCACATACTCGCAAGAAAACCCACTGAATAGACTATAATAATAGAGGCTAGCTTCATATAATAATCAGGCCTCTCTTCGTCCGATCACCGAGCAAATCGTCCAGTGCAGGCTAGGGGAAGAACTGCTATAGAGAGCTTTCGATATATTAATTTTTCGGCCAAACTTTATGCAAATTCATCTTATAAATGACGTAAACACCACCAGGGGAGGAAAGTTTCTCAAAGAAACCGGGAAAGAAAAAATTTCTCGTTTCGTTATCGAGGGAATCGATTTGTGAATATCCATGGGCTTTCAACTAGAAGGGTATGCAACTCTATGTAATAACATGAGACCTTCAAAATGAGCAATGACATGCTTCCCTTTTATGGCAATATTTCAAAAAGTATTAGATAAATGTATATGTTTTAGTATCATTTTGAATAAAAATCAATTTTTAATATGATTTAAGCATAAAATATATTCAATATCATATAAAAGTAAACAAAAGAGACCAATAAGAATAAGAGTTATCAAGATGTTCTCTTTGAGTATTGCATTGTGGGTAATTATTCAAGAACACATTCCAATAAAAACATAATTTGTGGGAGAATGTTCACTTTCTGTATTGTCATAATTATGATGAATTCCAATTTTTATTAAATTATCAAGATGTATGTAGAAGATCATGTTTTTATTTTTGAGTTATTTCTTTTAATCATCAATAAAAAGTACAAAATAAGATTTTCTTGGAATGTGTACATTCTCCAATTTTGAAAACCCATGGCAATGTTTATGTATGAAATATGGGAAGTTGCCTACCCTTCTAGTTGAAAGCCCATGGAATATCTGAGCAATTATGCTAAAATTAATTTTAAGTTGTAATAATATTTTGAAACCGGAACTCACAAACTACATACTTGCCAAATATTTTGTTGTGAATTTAAGGACGAAAGCACCTTATCTTCGTTTCCAGAGATCCCAAGTGCCATGCCTGACTTGTACAAGTCCAAGTTTGCGTATACGTTTTCCAAATAACTTACTAGTATATGAGAGCTCTCTAATATTGAGATATTCTACTCAGAAACATTGCAATAGCCTACTTTTCATCATTATCGTGGCAATCTTCAACATAGCACTGCGGCGGGTAGTCTGCAGCTCCCACTGGAAGGTGTGATTTCACTTAAATTAATTAAACGTGATCTGTTCACCTTGTTTCATGTTCGCAGCCTCGTACCATGTGATTGGGACAAAGGCCCAGGAACATGTATAAAAATCGAGTATGAGTCCCCTAAAAAAATCCCTCCGATTAATTTCGATTTTGCATTAACCACATGGATTGGTAATCGAGAGAACTCTATTGTTTGCATTGCGTGTCTTAATTGATAAAAAACATGGGTAGGCCTAAACTATTGGAGAGGTTAAGCTTTGCATATATAATCGAAACTGAACCTGTACGTATCACTCGACCATATACAAATTCATGTAGCCTTCTCATATAAATAGCCGTTCAAATCCAGTGTTTGTTTAGACTACACCATAGCGTGTAATGATTCTATAGTATGTCATTGATGCGGTTTTATAGCTGGTTTTCTAATACATATTTTAAACGAGCTCGTTTCGTAAGATTTTTGGCGCTAAATCATGCATGACATACATCATCGTGTTCAGCAAGAATTCAACTGTGCATCGAAATCAAAATTGACAGCATAGTGTTCAATAGACACGAGTAAAATGGTTCCCGTTGACCCAACGTGAAATATTCAAATCTCCCGTTCTAAACCCGAAACTCTGAAGCTGAAAGAGTATCTGAAGTAGACTAAGCGCGCATAAAACTATAAGCGCTCGATACATTCCTTTGTTAATTTTTGTACTTTGCGTTCACGGTTACGTTGTGAAAAACATCGTTAGCTTAACCTCTCCATTATCAACAAAACAAACTCATAAACTGTACACCTTTAATGGTTTTCCAATTTTTGACAATGCACTGATATACCCCCTTATGGATATCTAGTGTGTAAATGTGACACTTGATATATAATTATACATGAATAAATAAATAAATAGACATGTGTACAGCCAAAAAACAACTTAAAACTACTTCTGCGGGATTTCATGATTTTATCAATATTTTTGCAAAATAATGATTGAGCTAACCAAAAGAATACATATCTCATAATTTAATAGAGAATAGAATACGCCAACTGAAGGTAGTAGCAGACAATTTTCACCAAATTTTGAATATTTTTATTTATCTGCCCACCGCCGCAGTGTCTATTATTGAGAGGCAATGTCATGGAGTTCGACGTTTTATATACGAGCTGTTTAAATGCATGATATGTGACTTAAATTACATTTAACTCACAGCATTTTGATATTATATTACTAATATACGTGCAATATACGTGTAGCATATTTTGATACGCACACAAAATAATTTTAAATGCAAATGAAAATCAGGGTTACGACGCACACACTACTTAATCAGAGTAAATAGCAATGCAAATACAAACTGAGCACTTTTTATTATTAAAATCTAATACTAGTAGTGGTATCACCATGGGCTTTCAATTAGAAGGGTATGCAACTCTGTGTAATAACATGGGACCTTCAAAATGAGCAATGCCATGCTTCCCTTTTTATGGTAATATTTCAAAAAGTATTAGATAAATGTATATGTTTTAGTATTATTTTGAATAAAAATCAATTTTCAATATGATAAAAGCATTAAACATATTCAATCTCATGTAAAAGTAAACAAAAAAGACCAATAAGAATAAGAGGTATCAAGTTGTTCTCTTCGAGTATTGCATTGTGGGTAATTATTCAAGAACACATTCCAAAAAATATATAATTTGTGGGTGAATGTTCACTTTCTGTATTGTCATAATAACAATGAATTCCATTTTTTATTAAATTATCAACATGTATGGAGATGATCATGTTTTATTTTTGAGTTATTTCTTTAAATCATCCATGAAAAGGACAACAAAGATTTTCTTGGAATGTGTACATTCTCCAATTTTGAAAAGCCAAAGGCAATGCTTATGTATGAAATATGGGAAGTTGCCTACCCTTCTAGTTGAAAGCCCATGGTATCACAAAACGCAGCAAATGAATCATGAACCAATAACCAGTGATGACTGCGTCGGTTTCATTCATTGTACTCTGAAGCCACGTTTCTCCTCTTTGAAGTAGTAGGACTAGACATTACCAGTAAGCGCATTGGCCTGGTGCAAGTGGAAGATAGCCTGACCTGACTTGTGACCTTTTCAATAAGGGTTATCTACCTAACAGCTAAATCTTCAGCACCCCTCCACCAGAGATCGCAACACTTAGAAACAATCACCAATCATCACTTATTTTGTGGTTTACGATTTATTTGTTAGTTGCGTTTTTTATATGCACTATATTACTATTGCACATATACATGATGTGGCCTTTTGCATTATGACATGTACACAAACTATTTTTAAATACAATTAGAGAATCAGGGTTACTAGAGACATATCAGGGAATATATCATGTACACAGAGAAAATAATAAATTTAAACCAAGACAAACTATACATAGGATTGTTCTGCCTCTATCTGGAAAAAAGGATCAAGCTAAGGATTTACTCATTTTAACTTCCAATTTCCAATCATACAGGGTGTTCCAAAAGTAACGGGACTGGTGCTGACATTTTGTCAATTTTGCACCATGTGTCTTCAAATTTTCACAAATTGTACTTTGAAGTATTGCAACTAAAATTGTATAGTTTCAGAAAAAATGATGAAATGCGGGTAGAGTTGTGGTTACAATAGTAACATGACATAACAATACCCAGGGCAACTTTTTTCTGAAAATGTGATATCTAACATTTTTTTTGTATTACTGAAGGTAGTATCTAATTCACCTATTATAATACAACATTTCTTGTTTGTTTTATTAGTTGCTTTGTTGTAAAGGTGTTGCTATAAAACTCAGATTCAAGTATAATTTCATAATAATGATAATATTTATTCAATTTCCTGGAATATCACTATGAATTACAGTCCGAACAATTCATGGTTGAGTTTTTGAAAAGACCCAATTTGAAGCCAGTCATCCACCTTGATAGCGCGCCTGCCCGCAGGTCACCATTTAAGACCATGCAGCTATAGAGGAGCTAGGTCTTGAGTTCTAAAACCATGCACCATACTCTTCTGATCATGCAACATCCAATTTCTACTTACATGGAGAATGGAATGCTAATCAGTGCTGTAAGATCTTTAAAGATGAGAATGACCTTCTCCAAGTTGTTCAATCGACCATGCGTGACACGTGCCTCAAATGGGTTCACTCATGTGTTTGAGTCATGGATACAGAGTGCTACTCTTTTACTGACCAAAGAGGAGCCTATTTTTCAAAGTACATAGGATACATAGGAATATCAAATTATGTAAAACAACAGTTGTTGCATTTCAACTTTGCAATTTTAGTAATGATACATGAAAGTACATTATGTAAAATTTCGAAGACGATTGGTGCATATTTAAAAATGCCAGCACAAGTCCTGTTACTTTTGGAACACCCTATATCTTCATTGCCTATAGTTTCCAACCATGAATCAAGTATTCCCTTTAGTCCAATGCATGATCACTAAGAAAAGTAAGACATATATAAATTCAATCTGAAATCAATAAGGTACCATGTAAATCTAAAAGAGCTTGTATGTTGAGTAAAACATATCTCAAATGAAAGTACATTCGTGCGAATGTTGACAGTGGTTGTCATTATTTTGCATATTTTTGATTTCTTAAAAAAAATATATTCAATGAACAAGTGATTCTATGGTGAAAATACCCAAGGGAAATTACCTCCATAAATGTAGGTTTATTTTTTAAATCACCCTCACACTATTTGTGTTTTGAAATCTTGGTGTTGAAAAACGTTGTCAGTAGTTGACACAAAGCTGAATTTCATCTAATAACCACTAATCCAGCTTATTCTCAACCCAAGATTTCAATACACAAGTAGTTGTAGGCTGTAGGTCATATTATATAGAAATCAAAATAAGAATAGACCGACTTGGGCAAGGCAAGTAGTTGTAAGGTGATTTGAAAAATCAACCCCACATTTATATTGCCAGCCATACAAACGTTTATTGACTTGTCCTTTTAAACTGAAGACCTAGGACTATTGACCAAGGCAAAATATTCTAGGGGCATTAAAGATTAAGTGCTGCATCCGGTGCACTGCACTCTCCAAACTACGTTTCGGTAACAAAATGTTGGAACATCGAAGTTACGATTTTTCCTTATTTCATGAGTAATAGGCAGAATTTCCTCGTTAATGAAGATTTTTCTTTAGCATATGATACAGACACACGTTTGTGATAAAAATGTGGAGATTCTGCCTACAACTTGTGAAAAAAGAAAAATCGGATCAGACATTTTGTTACCTGTTTCGTAACTAGTTTGAGGTGTGCAGTACCAGTGATCTCAGTTTAGCCTAGCTGGTATCCTTCACACGTGCCTTTACAATTGAATGAATAATAACAAGCAGATTTCATATGCATAAACATTCACAATTTATTATTCCAAGAAAAATAAGTGAATAAATTAAATTACTTCAAACATACTTACCCTTATTAGGCTACATAAATTAATTACATGTCTCTCTTAAAAACGTAGACAATTTTGTAAGGTTTTCCAAGAAACAAATAATTTATTGATGCAGCCTTAACATTAACACTGAGATGGAAAATTCTGGACTATAATCAATCAATTGATACCTGAACAATAAGTTATATAAATGGTAGCCATTTAGCCTATATATCATTACTATAGTTCCTTTACAGTTCATTAATTCCATTTACTGTAGATTGGGTTAATTTGCCGCCCGCTTTAATTTGGCGAATTTGGCGAAATTGAAAAATTCGCCAATATAAATCTTCGCCAAAATGTAAAATGAATCCCCGGGAATTATCTAGAGTATTTCCTCCAGTGTATTTAGGTCACTTCCGGTTTAGTTTCTTTCAAAAATATGAAAAATGTCTCTCATAATTTGGCTCAGACCTGGTCAGTCACTCATTAATATTCAGGGAAAAACTAGAAAGGAAAAGCGTGGTATAGTAGCAGCATCGATCGAGGTGCAAAATGTAAAGGATGATCGCCAGTGGTCCTCAAAAGAAAAATGGACATAGCCAAACTTATCCATTTACATGGTAATTCGCAAACAGTGCGTAAGTTAATTTTCTTGCATATCCGCCAAATTAAATAGCCGCCAATATGCCAAAACATGGCAAAATCGCCAAATTAAGTAGCGCCAAATTAACCCAATCTACAGTATTTGTTCGATGATCATTTTCAATAACATAAATTGTTGGAACAATATTATATAGCATAAGCATTTACAAGTAAGATGGGAGAGTTCAAATATGTCAAGATATACATGTGTCTCTTTGACAAATCCAAATCCATTAAAAATTAATGAAAATAAGAAAGATGGTCAGTTGATGGATCATGGTTGATTTTAGGTAAGGTCAAGTTCCATTTCTGATCATCCTATTTGAATTTATTACTGTGTTGCGAGTGCTAAACAAGGCTTTATGTACTAGTAGTGACTTCTGGTTATGATATGGATGTACAGTTTACAATGGTCATTAATTTTCCTTGGATGCAGTAGTAGCAGAAATATGTGTATGGATTCAGGTGCCTGAAAAATAAACACTTGGTGTCTTTTCTCATACGTCAGATTGTCCTGGATTTCCTAATTTCCCTACATGTGCAGGTACATACAACACTCTAGCCTTATAAGGCCATCTAACTTTAATATGGCCTTTCGAGATGACCATTTATGGTCATAATTGACCTTGCTGAACCTGAGTGAGATTTACATCATCTTCACTGAGATTGGACATAATTAACCCTTTCAAAGCTAGATTTTCTCAATGGAAATGGCCATCACGTTTAAACAAGCCTACAGCAATGAAAGAGTTACAATATCTTATTTGCTCCGAGATCATGATTTTCCACCAAATGAGAACGACAGTTTTGGTCGTGCATTTTTCTTGTTGAGAATTAATTGCTGTTCCTCTTTGGTTCGTTTCCTTTGTTCCTCCTCCAATTTCTGTCTTTCCTCCAACATCTTACGCTGATCCTCTACTAACTTCAACTGCTCCTCAGCCTGCAAGTGAAAAGTTACACTACATAACGCTACAATGTAAAAGTTAAATAAGTGTCTTACCACTTCCTACATAAAGACAATGTTCAAATATTTCACTCTCATTATCTTTCAGAAATATTGCAAAATGATGGTACAGGAGATTCTTTAAAAAATATCAGAGCTCCATTTTTGTTTAACATTCTATTGATTCACAAGATTTATCCCATGAAACTTCATGCTATTTCACGAAAGGACAACTGCAGATGATGATGACCATTAAGTGGGCACACATGTTGAAATTGTATACTAATTCTATCAATCACAACTTCAATCAATTTGGTATGCATGAAGGTTCAAGATACACCTATTTTTTGGATCTTCAACAATGTTTTTCAAACATTTTTCTCGCAGCAAAAATGTGAAATGTAATTATATCTTATAAAATTATAAGATGAGCATTACCCTTATAATATGATAAAATATCTTAATTCAATCATTAGAAAGGTATCATTAAATCAATGTGAACAACATTGCTGGACGGACAGATAGACAGACAGATGAGTGGGCAATTGATGAGTGACTTTTTTCTGGCATTTTTTTCACTTTTTGGTCAGTATCAAGTAAAGTGGGTGCATAGACAGTTTGAGAGTGGCGCAAACTTTGAGGTGGGCACAGTTTTCAGTTGAAGTTGGTCCTGCACCACAAAAGAAGATGTTTGGGAGATCATAGCTTAGCCTGATATCTATCTGGTATGATAAGGTCATTTTATGGTACTTACTAGTCTCGCCTGAGCTTCTTTAATCTTCTTGTTGTTTTCCTCCATGATGGCCTGCAAAGCCTCTCTCTGTTGCTTCTCTTCATCCTACAAAACACAGTGACATGGTAACAAAGAGTAGATGTTGATCGCTTAGTTAGGCCTGGCTAGCAAACTGTCATGGCTGCCTTTCAAAGCAAATACTTCAAATTTGGTTTACAATTACGTTACAGTTTTTATGTACTTCTGAAACAATACCATGATAGAATTCTACCACTAAAAATGTGAATAAATAAAAAAAATAATGAGAAGCCTTGATGGAAGCAACCATTGCATTGACTCTAACACAAAGTAATTACCCTTGGACCATCCTTGTTATTGAGTTGCCAATTCTAAGATCTTACCTATGCATAATAAAATGAATTAAAACCATAGTTCTGCTTCAAGTACATAATAAAACTGCTTCACAAAGAGAACTTCACAAGATATAGGCCACAGAAAAATAATATTTAAATGAACATTGATCTTATATCTTAAGAAATATGAGACATGTGAGAGGTGGAAATAACCCTTAATCCAAAGGTGTGCCAGAGGTTCATTAATACACGAATCATGAATACAAGTTCATTAATGAATTATGGGTTATACCACTTCTTAGGAATATACAGGTAGCTGGCATGATGTTGACATAAAACTGAACATTTATTTTATCATAAAACTTATTTATTTTTTTAAAACATTTATTTTTCTATGGCCCATTATGTGATCCAATGATAATTCACTGGTCCTTTAAGAGTTCTTTCAGTTTTCACCTACAAATAACAAAGTTAACATTTAGCAAAAATAATACAACTTAAAGGAACAGTGAAATAACAGATCAAATCTTGTGAACTGAAAGATAAATATCATTGTTGTTTAACTTTGTAGACCCCTTGGATTAAAGCAAAAGAGACCCCTTGGTGCAACACCAGCATGACAGTCTGATCCAGGCCTGTTTAAAAGAATTAAAAATTAGATATTAATCTATTTAGATGTTTCATCTGGAAGGGTTATTTGTTTGATAAATTTAATTGTTATAAAAGTTGGTAAAAAAATAACATCATGGAATACATTGTCAACTCAGTCAACCAGCTATTCAAAGAAATACAATTATCCAATCAAATATGTCATGGTGGACACATAGCAATATAAACCAAGTCTTAAACAAAAGATCTTATCATAGCCCACAGATTGTGTAGGCCTTTTGGGTGTCATTTTGGATTTTTTCCAGAAAGCCTCCCAATTTCAGATAGTCCCAATGTGCTTGATATGCAATATTGATGATCCACTACAAAAGACACTTCATGAAAATGGAACCCCGATTCAGTAACATTTGAAAAAATATGTCCACAATGATATATTCAAAGGATTCAACTCCATTGGCCTTTACATGAAGAAGCTGGTTAACTGAACTAAGTACAAAATGTATACGTCACCAGAATTACCTTTCAGCTAGTCAGGATTCTTCTTGTTATGATGCCCCACAACAGACAGCATGTTCCTTGTCATGACAGACATAATTTAGCTAGTAAATAACTCATTATTCAAGTCAATGTTCAGGGAGTTTTTCTTATATCCAATATGCTCCAAATATAGGCTACATATGCCATAGTTCCATAATACTTCAGATTTGCCAATTTTCCCATGAGTGAAATGAAACGTTCACATTATAATTGCGAAAGATAACAATTTTTAAAACATGAATACAGCATGTTTGTAATGAAATCCCAAATATAGTCTCCAATGTCTCCTTAATGTCATATGGTATTTTCCAATTACAAAATGAGATGGCCTTTTATTATTGCTGTCAATCAAAATGTCACTATATCAATGTATTGTCCAAGCAAGGAACGGGACAATGGCCTAGTGTTGTCAATTAAACGACAAATATTTCAGACTTCTCCAGTCATTGAACAGAGAAATAACGTTCCAAATATGGGCAAAGTTTATAGAAAATTCTGTGCTCTCCAACTTGTATGTAACCTAATTCAGTAGGGAAAAAGGGTCAATTATTTCAAACATTCGCAAACAATCAAAGTGAATGACTTTGACTTACTAATTGCAGTAAGAATTTTCTTTCCTATGTGCCTTTAAGGTTTCAAACTTTTGATACCATGATCAACCAAGCTCTTCAAGATGATATTTCATATTTCAGTAAGAATGCCATTTTCAGCACTTTGGAAACAAGGCATTAATATGCAAATGTCACCACCTGCCATTTGTTACAGATACTGGCCATCAAACACCATCCGCTGAACACCAACTGCCAAACACTAACCACCAAACATCATCCACAAAACTTTTTGACTATTTTGAAGAGTTTGGTTGGGTTATCAAGGCACAAAGAAGAAAATCTAGCTAGGGTTAGCTGCTAAATGGTGCCTTGTACATATAAACACACAACATTCATAAAAACGTTGTTGTTTGGAAAATTTGGGTAGAATTTTGAATTTGCTAAATATGTAAAGGATGTGTCCGGGTATATGCCCTTTTGGTCCCTCAGTCAAATGTATGTTAAATATGTTTTTTATTACTGTCCTAGTTATATTTGATAAGTTTATTTACTTTTTCACGAGTTTTGATGCATAATTAACCCCCTGCTGAGAGTCAGAATAAGTATCTTAACAAAAAAAAGTAGTCATTATCATAGAATAAAAACATCAATGGCAACATGTATGACTTGCAAAGAAGAAATAACTTAAGACCCATGAAGAATTTAAAAGAAAATCATATTTTTGAAATATATTTAAGGATTAAAATTTTTTTCAAATTTTTGAATTTCCCGCCAGTTTAATTTGAAGGGGAAAAAACAAGATGGCTGCCATTTGATGTAAGAAATATCAGAAAAAAGTTGCTTCACTTTTAGTTTTCACAATGAGCACAGTTTTCCGGTTTAGGTTTTTTGACTGATTCTGACTCTTCATCACCAGGGTCATGTATAGAGATTATAAAATTGAAACCGGAATGTTGTGCTCAGCATGAATTTGACTGAAATATGTGTAACTTCACTAACACAATTGAAGTCTCAAAACTGGATGCTCAGTAACTTTGAGTGACTATAATCCCTTGATTACCCAGATAAACACCAATTCACTTATCCAGAAATGCCATTCAATGTCCTAATACAAAGAAAGTAAGCAATGTTTTGGAGGATATGTTTTAAACCCTTTGTATAAATAATTCATTTAATATTTGCCATTGATTTTTTTTCACCTCTGACAAAGTGATATGCTCTGTCTTTGATGCCAATATTCTTCATTAATTGTGATAAAAATTGATATTTTTGTACTCTCAGAAGAAGGATAAGATATTGAAGTTTAATAATATGTGTGATTGAGTTGGTTTTCCAGACATAACAATTTTCAATATTTTCTAAGTCGATACCCAGACTCATTCCCAGACTCATCCTTTTGGGATGTATTACATGATATTTCTTATTCAATCGATTTCAAATTTACTTTTCAAACAACACAGTTTTGACAGCCTTCCTCATTGAGCAGACTTTTTAGGGTATAATACTCTTATACAAAAGGGGTCATTTAGAATTTCTTGTCCTTTTTTTGCAATTCATCATCATGTTTTAAAGCTACGCTAAGGTCAATTTTTGAGACAATTTCCGAAATAAAAATGGGCATCTATTTGTTGAAATCTTAAATTGATTTAAATTATGAGAGTTTCTAAAATATGCAAGGATATAAAAAATAACTGGAAAAATATTCAAAGTATCTTTTTATATGAATTCATTATATAATTTTTGGTAGATTGATAAAACTCATGGGAAGCATTTTTTAAAGGTGATTTTATTTCTGCAAGCTGCACTCAGATTTGACAGTGATATTTATACTATTTATAGTAAAGCTTAGAGTCAAATGCCCAACATTTCCTTAGCATATCTTCAATATATCAAGCTTCAAATGTAAAAGTAGATGATAACATGTCATTGATTAACTTCAACATACACATTGGAAAGGTTGACAGATGAAGCTTCATGATTGTCTATAAAACTATCAATTCTTTATTATCCAGATTTCACTATGCACACTTTATTGATTTATTCTCTTACTTTCATGACTCAAGCAACCTACAACAAACATCTTATAAAAAAACCTTCATCATAACATACAGCACAAAATTCAATATACCATCATTCATGACACACATCATATTATTTTCAAGACACCATTTACCAGCTGGTTGGGGAAAATCGATGAAGATGTCTACCTCTTTTTGTCTTTGAGCTTCTAACTCTGCTTCTCTCTTTTGTTCCATTTCTTCAAGCATTTGCTTTTCCATAATGCGTTTAGCCTCCTCAACTCGACGTAAGACTTCTGCCTCAATTTCCTCTTTACGTTTCTCCAGTTCTTCTTCCACACGTTTAGCCACAAGTTCCTCAACACGCTTAGCTACCTCCTCTTCAATCAATCGTTCCTCCATCTCCTTCTGTCTCCTAGAAACATTGAAACATTATCATTTTTCATTTTTACTAAATATAGAGTACATATACAAATCAATGCAATGAATTACAAGAAAACAAATGTGTACAAAATGTCCCCACCTATGGGTGATCTCGTCAAATGGTTATCCTAAAAATGAGTAGACAAGACTTTACCGACACAATTTGAGGACGGAATATTCAAAATGGCCACCTTAAAATTTACCCAGAATGCCAAAAAGTTAGTCAGTTCTAGATTATCATACTAAGAACCACCCCTGAAAATTTGAAATTGATCTCTCACAGTTAACCAGAAAACATGTAAACAAGGCTTTACAAACAAGATTTTAGGACGGAAAATCCAAAATGGCTGCCTTGACATTTATCCAGAATGCCAAAAAACTAATCTCTTCTAGATTTTAATACTAAGAATCATCCCTGAAAATTTGAAATTGATTTACCAAACGGTTCACCTGGAAATGCGTAGATAAAACTTAACAGACAAGATTTTAGGACAGAAAATCCAAAATGGCTGCCTTGACATTTATCCAGAATGCCAGCCAAAAAACTAATCAGATCTAGATTTTCATACTAAGAATCATCCCTGAAAATTTGAAATTGATCTACCAAACAGTTCACCTGGAAATGCGTAGACAAGACTTTACAGACAAGATTTTAGGATGAAAAATCCAAAATGGCTGCCTTGACATTTACCCAGAATGCCCAAAAACTAATCAGATCTAGATTTTCATACTAAGAATCATCCCTGAAAATTTGAAATTGATCTACCAAACGGTTCACCTGAAAACGTGTAGACAAGACTTTACAGACAAGATTTTAGGACGGAAAAATCCAAAATGGCCGACAATAAAAAAGTGATTATTAGTTTTTGCTGATTTCTTTTTACAAAATTATCACATATAACTACTGTTAACAATAAAGTTTTACAACAAAGTACACCTGAAATTATTTATAAAGCTACAAAATAGTTAAAGTATGAAAAGTGAAAAACACCATTCAATATGATTCAAAGTATTATCGCTCTAACTTAACGCTATCTTAAAACATTCAAAATGGCTGACATGACTGAGCTAACAGGTCCAAAACCTAATCAGATCTAGAATGAAGTGAGCTGAACAAGATATAAAGTTTCAAAAGCAACTGTGAAGCCATTTTTCTTAAAGTTTGCAGACAAGGATTTTAGCATTTGACTTCAAAATGCCCGACAGGAAGTAGGTATCGAGTTGATTTTTTTCATCCACATCTAGATGCACTCATAAGTTATCCCTGAAAATTGGAAGGTGATATCTGTAGCGGTTTTGGAGAAAACTGCCGGCGGACAGACGGACAGAGGCGCCTAGGCCGACAATATGGCCCCACACTATGTGGTGGGGACATAAAAATGTGTCCAGAATTATAGTGAGAATGACACCTAGTGTGAATCAGATGTTAACCCTAGACGTGCGCTGAGCGAGTTTACTCACTTTGACATCACATTCCTGATAGACAATGGGCTAGTTTACTCGCTTGATAATGTTGAAAGTTTGCAAAAAGTCAGTCTTTACCTTAAATAATTTGCCGCTATTCTTCTCAAAATGTGATGTTTTTGATAGTTCATGGTGTTGTTAACATTCATGCATCATATTTTTACAAAATAAGTTAAATAGACACCATTATTAATCAAAAATGTTTTTTTAAACTTTTTATTTCGAAAATATTGACCGGAAGTTCGAAACCAGAAGTGACCAGAAGTGAACATTATTTTTATTTTTTGAATTAAATTGAAAAATACTCATCAAATATGAGGAATCTATCACAATGTATGATCAAGTGATGATATTAGAGGTAAATCTATCATTTTAATTTGTTAATAAAAATGAAGGAAATATCATTGATATGTTGGAAAATGGTGATTAGAATTTTTGAAAATTTTCAGACAAATCTGTGTCATAAACTTTGACTTCAAGTCAATGTATAGGGTTAGATGACCCCTTCATAACTCTTAATGCTTTTTCATGGCATTTTTACCAACTAAGCTACCATATTGCATCAACATGATACATGGATATGCATCATACTTCTGGTGTGATCAGGTTCTATATGCATGTCTGAAAAAAGGAATAAATCCCCAAACAAGTAAACAAGTCAGTCTCCACGTAATGCACGTCCAAAATCAGCGCTCTAATAAGGGTTAAGTATTATCACGGTGATGATTAATGAAAATTAAAATTAAATTAGACTCCAGTGTTCTCCACAGGATTTTTTTTCAAGTGGGTGCAAAATTCTATATTTTCACAATTCAGACCAAAATTGGTCTAAATATGCCCATTTTCATGATTATTCTCATTTTCAAGGTGGTGCAAATGGATTTTTGGTGTGTGTAAGCCTGTTTTGAAAATCTCAGGTGGGTGCTGCGCCCAATTGCTTTGATGCTGGGGAGATCACTGAGAGTCTGTAGATTTAGAAAGGTGATGACAATACTTAGATATATACAATATGTGGAAAATATATACTGTATACTCATCAATAGTTTTGGTTCAATGCATTTGTCTATTTTAAAATAAATCAGATTATTAATGCGCAGCCTCCTAAACTGAATTTACTCAATTCTGAAACATAATTTTTACTTACATAACTTAATAAAATATACTTACTGCAGTCTTAATCTTTCTACCTCAGCCTTTCTTTCTTCCTCCTCTTTTCTCCTTTCCTCCATGCGTCTGCTCATCGCACGTCCAAATATGTCTGTATCACTATCAGATGAGCTTGATGAACTGGTACGTCTTGACCTATAGAAGTTTATACAGGAAGTTGGTAAGCAGCTGACAAGATTTTTTTGTGCAATAATTTTGTGGTGCCTACTCACATTAGTGTTCCAAATGGTATTGAAAACTGGTGCCGGTATTACCGCAATTCAATACCTTACCGTTACCGAATACCGCGGTTTTAGGTCTACGTTCGCAATCATACATTTCTGTGACTGAGTTTAGATTTTGCCAAAGTTTTTGGTGGTGAATTTGGTCCCTTTCATACAAACTCAGTTTATAGTCATGATTTATCAATGTCTTACTTTATATGACTAAGCCAGCTGTGTTCAGTTTACCATATTCTATGGCCACTGAGTGTGACCATGATTTCTAACATTTCTGTAAAAGACCTTTAACATGGGCTGGGAATATCGAGTTTTGAATAGCCATCTATCTAAAGACATGAAAGATGGCTATGTGCAAGTAAGCCCGACCCTCCAGACAAACCCCTGTGAATCGAAGAGATGGTGATTGAGCTGACTATGATCTTTGCAACATCTTTCATACACAAACTTGTTTATATACTAACATAAGTTACACCGTAATTTGTGCATACCTTTTCTTTCGATCCCTGTCTCTTGATCGTGATCTTGCTTTTGAATTTGATCCCCTGTCGCGGTCCCGTTTTCTGTCTCGAGATCTTGATCTTGATCTTCGTTTCCTGTGCTTACTCCGATGCTTTACTCTACTGCTAGATGTACTAGGGGATCTGCTCCTACTTCTTGATCGCGGCATACTGTATTTTATAGTTTAAATGCAATAATATTGTCACCGTTTCCAAATAGTTGAGTAGACTTTTTCTATCTTCAGTAGATTCAATATGGCGACTATTTCGTGGTGACGTCAGGCGGTCTAGTCGAGCAAGTTTAAAGTTAATCGATCAACATAAACAATATTGAACTCAGAACACTGAGTTGGTTGGTGTTCATATACATAGGCCATAGTGTGTGCCAAAACTCCAGAAAATCACAAAAACCTATGTTGTGGTAGCTTACTATGAAGTGACCCATTATCATTATAGATTGGTCCATCAACTATTCATTTTTACTTGTCTGCACTCAAAAAGGTGACACGAATGGGCTAAACGGCTTGCCACAAGGTGCAACCATCAAAAAGATGAGTTTGGAAAAAATTATTTTTTTCAAATAATAGCAATGAGTATACAATATAGTAGACGAATTTGATATTGATAAGTATGATAGTCCATTTGCGTGTGGCCATTTTTATAAAAAACAATAATTGTGAAGAATTATATATTTCTGACCTGAAAATGCCATCTTGATTCAAAAGTCATGGTTGTTAATGATAATATTCCTATTTCACCTATTCAATGTTTTCAAAATATTTTAATTACCATTATATTCATTTTTGGCAAAGTAAATAAATATAGGGCTCACACAAGGATCAACTTTATTTGCAATCTTTTCATATTAAGTGATGTTTTGAAAAAATATAATATTAATCACAATTTTATTTGTTAAATGTTTAACAAAATAAACATAGTGTGTTTATTTCATTCTTTTGACTGAAAATCGCAATTCATGGCTCTTCCTCTTAGAACGGCAGGGGATATGCAAGTACAAAAACAGTCTTAAAAAAAGTTGATCCTTGTGTAAGCCCTACACTTATTTACTTTGCCAGAAACTGATATAATAGTTATTCGGCGGTATGAAAATCATTTCAAAGGTAAAATAGGAAGAATGTCATTGAACTTGGAATAAAAAGCATTATATGGTCAGTGGCGTAGGAACAATGTACGCCAAAACGCCAGTGCGTAATGTTGAATAGTGAGAATAAAAAATGCTTTTTATTTTTCCTATGTTCTTTAGTCATGTTTTCTCATTGTGCATAAATTTTAAAACTTATCTCAAGCACACAAGCCTTAAGAAATATTATTTTTAATACCATATGATATCCTCAAAAGTACTATTTTGCAAGGTTTTTGTGCCTCTGTTATTTTTCTAGCCTGGGCCACAGATAAATGACATTTTTTGAAAAATGAAATTCATAAAATATTGAAAGTTACCTCGTTTCTTATACTGTCGAAAATGCGATATAATCAATATTTATTTATTTATTTATTTATTTATTTATTTATTTATTACACCTTTAAAACGGTGGCACACCAATACTGGGTGCTCTTACAAAAATGTACATAAAATACAAAACATATTCATTTTGTGGTATCATTGAGATTAGGGTGAAGCAAATGCATTAGATAAAAATTGTTTGATACATCTATCTACTAAAACTTCAATCTCGTGCCCATAAACACTATGTATATCATTGCCCAGTAGCCATTGTAATTTACTCTGAACATTAAGAGATATAAAATGGTTAAAAACATGTTCATTATTGCCTTCAAGTGCACTCTTTAAGTTAGAAAATAAGACAGAACGATAGGAGGTGAAATATGGGCATAACAGTAGGCGGTGGGAAAGATCATCAATCCCTGAATTACAAAATTTGCATAATCCATCACCTTGGCCCCATCTTTTCAAATCTGCACCAACCATGAAACATCCTGTCCTAGCTCGAAACTTTAAAACAGCAAGTCTAAAATCGTTTGAAATGTGCATGTAACGTTCAAGACCCCAATTCGTTTTAACATGTTTATAAACGTTTAGTGAGGATTTTACGTTTATTGATTCAAATATATCAGCTTTCATTTGGCTATTTGTGATTGCTTTATATGTCTTCATCCAGGAAGTGTTAGGTCTGAACATAACATCATCCAGTCCTCTATCTTTCATTATTGAGTGGATGTTTCTCATATATGGCCAACACAAATTTTTATTAAGCCTATGGTGTTCTAACATACTTTGAAAAACAATGTTTAAAAGATCATTCCTATCATTTTTTACAAGGTAGCTGTTTAGTAAATAACCACTTAACAGATTGAATCCCCTTTCCAACATGCCTTATTTTATGAAAATCGAGCCGACTATTGACTATATCTTATGAATTTGAAAAGTGAAATACAATTTCGCCAATCACATATGTATTCGTGAATCGCGTTTACTTCACGAATTTGAGAGAAAACCATTTTTTCCAAAAACTACTTGATGAATACATTTCCAATTTTTGTGCATGTTCCGTACTGCCTTTTCAAACTCTGGTTTCATAATTATAGTGATGAACCCCTTGAAATTTTAGATATATATTTTTTATTATTCCCTATCCCCAATTTTTCAATTTCACTAATTCAATTTATCATGTTTATATTCCGTTGCTAGACAAAATCATGGACCGAAATTATAAGTCAGCAAAAATCTATTTCTTACTAAATCACTTATTGTTATTGGTAGTACTTATAGACAAAAACAACATGAAACTGTTGATTATTCAATTCCACGTTCCCTTGATTTCAATGAGTTTTGGGACTTTTGGCAATACCTGCTATCTTTGAAAGTACATAGCTTCAGTTCTAGAAAAGCTTATATCTGGATTTTTATATCATTTGCAAGATAATAGATTATTATTTTCGGAAATATAGCATTTTTGGCAGCCCCCCCCCCCCTAGTCACATTGACCTCGATTTGACCTTTGTGGAGGGGGGGGGGGTCATTTGGTGTTGCGAATTGGTGTTATAAAAAAGGTTGCAGACATTAGTGTTAATTGTATCATTGATCACGAATATGTTTATAAATCGATTAATCATAGTAGTTTCTTTTTTTGTATTGTCCCATTGCACGATACACGATGGAATCAGAAAATTATGTATCTAAATTCAATATTCAAAAATGATCAAAAATCTCTCATTGTTATCTGGTCGTCTACTCTATATCCCTTGAGAAAATTAGCATTTACATGAGAAAAGTGAGAATGAGTTATGTCGAGATTTAAAAGATCGGCTTTCCATGGTGATTGTATACAGTAAAACCTGTCTAATTCGCAAATTCGAACATATCTGGAACCAGTCAAAGGTGTTCAAATTAGGAGATGTTCACATTTTAAGGGTTTATTAACATTTGAATCAATGGGATATCACAAAAAAGTGTTCACCTTGAGGGCTGTTCAGATTAAAGAGGTGTTCAGATAAACCGGTTTCACTGTATGATGAAAAACATTCGAACATTTTAAGCACATTAGAAAGGTATTGCCATAAAATGACGTTTTACGAGCATAAAATAGGTGTTTTGATAGCAGAAGGTTTGACACAATTGTTTCCTTTTTTTGGCGTAGTATTGAATTTACACCTTCCTACGCCCCTGATGGTTAGAAATACCCAATTTTTACCATAATTGTTTTTAATAATACAACCATACCCTAATGGACTATCTTTACATTTCAATAACCAATGTGCATTCTATTTTGCATGTTTTACTGCAATTATTTGAATTTGGGAAACACATCGGCTTACGGATCCAATAGTATAGTTTCCATATAGCTTTTGAAATCTCACTAAATCTCGTTTTTCGTGAGATTTTAAGAGACTTGCATATTAGACCTCTAATGACTTACATTACTTTCTTTTAAATGGTATATTTGAATTCAGTGTAATGTTTTCTCCTAAAATAGCTTTGATTTACACAGTTATGTAATTTGAATAATTTTCTATGACAATTTAAAAAAAGTTGGGCCAAATGTCCATAGATGCAATGCTAAAATTCTTTAAAACCGTGGATTATTTGTATGTCAATCGCCGGGTTGGCCTAGTGGTTAAGGCATTGGTCTGAAAAGCAGGAAGTCTGGCTTCAAGCTGAAAAGTAGAGGTCTTGGGTTCAAACCCAGGTCACAGCACTTCTTGTGATTTGTCTTTGACCTATGACTGCTGACCTATACCGGCGATTACTAGAGTGCTGCTAACTCGATAAAAGGCTGGCGCTGGCTAGAATTGTCTATGGTTCTAGCCAGGATAAAGATACCAGTTCTTCAACTCGACAATGGGAAGAACTGCTCTACCTAAGTGACTAATATGTCAGGATATGACATCTAAAAGAGTCGATAAAAGATATATATAAAAGATATATAATCAACATTAGCATGTTTAATCACAACATGTTCATAAACAGGGTCATCATGTGGTATATCATTCAAGTTTTATACAGATTCAACAAACACACTTTGATAAATCATGAAATTAAGCCACTTTTCCAAGATTTTAGCATGTAAGTGAATGGAGCTCTAGCCAGAGTTAAAAGCTGAATAAAAGATGGCAGCACGAGATTTCATTGATTTTTCTGCTATTTAGAAACTATCCTATTCAGAACTACTAGAGAAAGTAACTCTCGTGAAAAACTTCGTCAACGTGACAGTTGATTACTGATTGCAGTCATTAAACTAATGACCTCATATTTGGATATCCTCTCTTCTGATATGATTTTACAATTTACTTCAAATTGGCAAAGTACCAGATACAGTGTGGCAAGTAATATCTGACGGTCATATATTTTACCATGACTACTTTCTCAATATAAATATGACATTTCTCAAAACACAATATGGTATCTTTCAAGAAAATTCAATTCTCAATGATAATAAAAATATCATTCGAACAATCTAAAAAACTATGAATAGGGAACTCATCTCAATATTTTTTGAACCTATTTACTCAACAGAGGTTCGTCTTTTTTATTTGGATTGCATTTTAGTATTATTCAACAAGTGGTCTAAAACCTTTTCATTAGTAGAATTGTAATGAAAGTCTAGTTTTGGCGATATCAATTTTCAATGACCAAAATTATGCTGAAAACAATGGATAGTTTGAGTTTTTCCAATGGAAAATATCATGGAATTTGTGGTTTTTAACTTTATCACATTTCAATACCCGTCCCCTTTTCAGATTTTGTTAATTCATTAGCGTAGAAGAACTTTTAATATATTCAAATTAAGAAAAAATACTTTAGAAAATAAGCCTAATATTTTTCAAAAAGTGACAAGGTGGGGATGTTATCAATAATATTTCAGATATATTTCATATATTTATATTTTCA